TTCAAATAAGTTTATAAATGACCATTTTGAATGGTAATTTTTAATTAGGGATCTATTCACCCCCTCTAGATAAGTCGTCGTAGTCTAACAAGTGGTATCAGAGCTCCAGTTAATTTTGTGCTTCGAAACTCTTATTAGAAAATGGTGTACGAACCTAAAGGGGATAACATCCCCAATTTTTTCCGGGAGAAAAATATAGTTATTGGAAAGCTTGTATGCACATTCATGTTAATTCATATGAAAAGGGTATGTGTGATGCTATTATCCAATTTGATGCTAATGGCGTTGTCACACCTAAGCCAAGCCAGAAGCACTATAGAATAATAATGATAAGAAAAATTCATTAAATCTCATTAATTGTTTGAGCGCACCTGGTATGCCTATTTCCAATGCAATTTTTACTAAAACAGTTTTGAGATGTCTTACTAGGAATTAGCTATCGAAGGTCGCCGTAATCAAGGAAGCTAATGATCTTACAACACTTGATCTCACTACATTGGTTGGTAAGCTTGAAGAATAAGTGCAATAACTTACTTGCTTAGACAAATATGAAAGGAAACTATACAATAAGAAGAAAAAAGAGAAAGACACTGATAAGGAGAAATAATAAATTCTAAATCTCTTAGGACTCCAAGTTCGAGGTCCTCAAAAAGTGAGCACATATACGACAGTGATTTTAATAATTGTGAAAATTTAATTGTCATTATGCTTGTATGAAAGACTTGCTCAAATGCAACTAATTTTTCACTAATCCCCAAGGACCTAATGAAGATTGGGTATCTAGCTTTTCTTGTTGTTTTTGTAGGAACATTGTCTTGACTCTATGAAGAGAATATGGATTATCATTTATGGTGGCTCAAGGCATATGAACATATTCTAATCATATTGTATATGTGGCAAGAAGATAGATTTTTTGATCTAGAAAGCAACAATAATTTTTGTTTAATTGGTAAAAGAGGCATAAATTACTTTTGATGTTGTATCTGAGAATACTCGGAAAATGTATTTCATTCCATGATGTAGGTGTATCTTCAAAAGACATACTCAATAACACCAAAGAAGGAATTGATCAACCTGAATCGGTGAAACATGAGGAGGAGAAAGATAACTAACATGAAAAGGATAAATATGAGAGTTAAATCAAAATGAATGACTATCAAATTAATGACCTTCTTGTATTCATCACAAGTTATACTTTTGGGTATTTTGTCAAAGTTAAAAGTGATAAGATCGTGTTGTTCTAAAATATTTGTGGAAAACTTTGCATTTGGTTCAAATTTTTTTCAAGAGTTCCTTGTGAAATTCATGTGCATCCTCTATCATATTGTACGGTGAGGTAGTATTGATTTAACTTTAGCTTTGTTAGTAAGTTCTCTCTTTTACTTGTTTATTTCTCTAAGTACATGACATCCTTGGTGTATGGTATATATTATGAGTATTCATTTTCAACATAATTCTTAATTGATAATCATGTTTACTTATAAATTTATATACTTGAAATGACCTCATAATATTATAATTTAATGGATTTTTTTTATAAACACTTATGTGTACAATAACATGTTTAGCTTAATTAAATATCAAGCTTAACACATTCGACATTGTATCATATTTGATTCTAGTAACATGCAACTTGTCAAATAAAGTAACACTTATGGAGCGTAGAATTACTTTCCCGGACTCCAAATAAAGTAATTCAAAGAAGGAACACATGCATGAGGAATTACCTTCCCGATCATGTTGAAAATGAGGATGTTGTGTTCGAGCAATTTGATAGTGAAAATCAACTTGGCGACATTTTCACAAAATGTTTGCAACCAAACCATTTTTCAACAAACATGAGCAATTTGGGATTATTAACGTCTCCAATTTTGATTTATTTATTATGATCCTTTCACTTTTATACTTTTGCTCTAACACTTTGTTTGAAGTACTTTACCGCATGTGAGTGCAACTTCTATTACATCAAGAGTGCGGTAATATTATTCCAAATTTCCCCTTGAAAGTAAGATTTTTCTTAGTACATGTTTTAGTTGATGAAAAATACTTGCTATGTTATCAAATGATGAAAACCATGAATGATCATTTCCAAAAAATTTGATTGATAACCATTATGTGTTCCTAATATATATGCTTTTAATGACTTCATGTATTAATTCTTTCATATTTGTATAAGTTTTATCTTGTGTGTACAAGCATGTGTTTCTATTATTATTTCTTGCATTCATGCATAAGTTGAATGTAAGCATGTTAATTGCATGTATGATTCTTGTTGTAGTTGAGTCACATGTTATGACATTTTCATTTTGGATTGAGTAGTGACAATTTCTCGTCGCTACACTAGGCACATGCGTGTGCGGCATCAGGAGTTCCATTATGATGTGTTACGTAATAGTGATGCTATAGACGCAACTTTAAAAGTTTGCTCTTAAGTTGCATTCTTTATTCATTACGCAACTGTATTACATGTGTTGTAATACTATGATATATTGGTTATGAAAAACTATGATACTTCTATGATATGCTTGTTCTCTTTTTGATGTTCTCAAAGGGGGAGAAGGATATGCTGGATGAAGTATGGAAGCATATAGTTAAGGGGAGTGTCAAATGAGTATTAAATGCCATCGTCATAGTTTTTCCATCATCAAATAGAGGGAGTATGTGAGTGCAACTTTTCTCTAGATGTGTGGCACCCTATGCATTTAGATGTGAGTAAAAACTATTTGAATCATTAAAAATCGCTTTCTGCATTGCACATACCTGTACAGTTTAGCTCATAGAGCCTCACAGACCGGCTCATGTATTGTCCTAAATAACCAGTTTTTCTCTGTGTTGGTCAGGCCGACTTATATAGCCTTTCAGCCCGGCTCATGTATTGTCCTAAATAAGAAATTTTCTTTTGTTTTGGTCAGGCCGACTCATAAGTCATTTCAGGTTGGCTCATGCTGTTATAATTAACACTATGTGTCGACTCGTGCAAATTACAAGTCGGATCATACTGTTTCAGGGGTCAATTTTTCTTTTTTTTTTCTTCTGAATTTCCCTCTTTTTCCACAAAACTTACATAATTATGAATACATCTTTCATGCATCATTCCAACATGTTGATACCATAAAAATTTCCTACAATTTCTCTTCACATTCAATCTTTAACCTATGCATACACACTAACAAATCAACATTATAACCTTTTGTTGGGGTGCCATCAAGACGAGGTTCGATAACATTCAATTAGGTTCTTGTGTAGCTGAGAATATTGGGTTGAGATTTGCACGGGTCTTTGTTATACCCCAAAATTTACCGTCCTAATTTCTTTTATCTGAATTGGGCTTAGGTTTTTGCATTCATTTGCATATATTCCATTAGGTCATTAACATAACACATATTTTCATTCAATAAAACACTTTGGTTCAAACTTTAGTGGTTGTGCAATATCAGGGTTTTGTAGTGCTTAAGTGGCAATGGTTATTCCACAAAGTTTCTTTGAGTTAGGATTTTATCTTGAGTTTCATTCTTGAGTGGTCTTTGAATCAAAGCATTCAGAAAGATGTGCATTGAGACCTCCTCTGAGGAATTATATCTCACTATTCCAAGTTTGATTCAATCAAGGATTGCTTTAAAATCAAGGAATTAAGAATAATGGATACATTGTTTTCTCTTGAATTTAATTAATTGGTTTAAGATATTTCAAGCATGGCATGATTGATTTTAATGCAAATTTCTTATGGAATCATGAGATACAAGGAAAGACTTTTGACCAAGGTTCATTCGAAAGGTCATGGATTCCATATTGCAAAGGCCAACCATTTGTATATGAGTTCTTTATGATATAAAATTTTCATGAAAACAGAAGACTTCAACATTCTACCTGCAAAATTGTGAAAGTAAAGGTTCTCATACAAGATTCAAAATCCTTTCATGAGTTTCATGCAAAAAAATCATTCAAAACCAAACAAACAATGTCATTCATCAAAGTCAAAATTACTTCATTCAAGTTTCACTCAAGTTCGATAAGTCTCATGACCATTCAAATGTCATTCATGGTTCTTGTTAAGATTGCAAAGTGTATATTACAATTCATATTACCATGGCATATTGAAACATTACAGAAGGAAATTACAAGAAGTGGTTGTAAGTTCTAAGTTCCCATAAAGTTACTTCAAATTGCTTCGAAGGTCTCTTCATTCATCTACATTGTTGCATTGGATGTCAACTTGCGTGAACCTTCATGTTTCCATCTTTATTACCACATCAGTCCCTAATGTGCTCCGACCAAATAGATACACCAGAGGCTTCATGACAGAATTATGGTGTCTCACATTCATTTCAGCTTAAAAACATCCTTATCCTCATCCATCAATTGACCTTGAAACCATGCTGAGACACCACTAAAGCTGCCAACAACATCCCTACAAACACATTCAACAACCATTAAAACAGTCACAAAACAGGATGCCACCAATACTGAACTCACATATACAATATTAATTCAAAATTCAATGCATCTTTCTTCAAGTCAGTTCACACCAGAATAATAAGTCATGAAGCATTGCGGTTTTCACATGTTTAACACAAAGATCAACATTTGAAAACCTCATCAACATACATACAACCGCGCCATCTAAACCATTTCCAATATATACACATACATACTAATACAAAAATATTAACCACATGTGCATTCGGAAAAAAAACCACGCATAGTGTAATGCTTACAATTCATCCATGCTCAATACAAGGAAGAATAGGGAGCATGAAACAGAAGCTATGCTAACATGTCAAGATGTCATTTCAGGCCAGGTAACATACAATAAAGGAGAAATTTGAAGTGTTACATCCAATATCACAAAAATCAGTAAGAAAAAAAAAACAAATACCATGTTATGACATCCCAATTTTATACCTTCATAGCTTGCTTACCTGTGCATTCGGCCATGGCATTTTCCTTCAGTCCACTATACACTCAAAGCCGACCTTGTAAAAAAAAAACAGATGGAAATCTTACACATTCGGTTCAAGCCCTGCACCAATATCAGAATATAACGTTAGCCAGTCCAGCATCATTCATATACAAGTTACATACACTAACTAAGATAATCCCACAGAAAAAGAAGCAGTTAACATTCGACTCGCCCGTGCCCTATCAAAATCCGAAGCTGAAGCAAGCTAACATTGATCCGATACAATCACTAAACCAAACACAAGTTAATTATTTACTAAACCAGTTCATATTCCTCTAACACAAAAAAAAAACAATCCATAACCGATGTAAAGTCGATTGCTTAACAAAATAAAATCAACAGAACATATAAAAGAGGATGAGAGATTAAATCAGAAAAGTGAGAAGCAGAATTATTGTAGGAATAAAAAAGGGAAATTGTGACAAATTCTAGCTCAGCATTCAAGAGATGATAAGCAAAAGGAATACTCAGGGAAATTCAGAATAGTACAGAAAGAAAAAAGTTTAGAATTTGCCAGCTCAAGAAATATCAGGAAAAACGTGAGTATAAAATTAGCAAAACTTGCAGAGAAAGTTTTCAAAAATATCAGATGAATCCTAGCCATTCAATCAGTAATAGAATTTATAAAACCAAACAGCTCTAACTGTTTTCTCTAACAGATTCTAACAGAATAAAAACATAATTTCTCACCTTCTTCAGGGGGATTCTTCAATTCTACGGAAATTTCTCTCTCTTTTTCTTCTTCATCATCATCATCATCTTCCAAAACTCTACAGAAAATCTCTCTACTCTCCCTCTGAGCCAAATCTTCATCCAAGCTTTTACGTCTTAATCACTTCTCTACATCGCATCATCTTCATTTTCTTTCTTCAACATTCTGTGGAATCACACGAGAATCACAGGAAATCCGCCTCAAAATTCTGAACTCTCTTTGCATCTTCAAGATTCAACAATCTTCAATTATCTTCTGCAATCTTCTGCAGGACTCTGCGTCTTCACCATCATCTTCAATCATCTTCACTTTGTATCTGCAACAATCAGACACGAGTTTCAACATAATAACATCGCACAAGGAATCCAACAAAACGCAGAGAAACGTCGATTTAGAAACGCAAACGAAATGTAAGAAGAGGAAGAAACGTAGAGTATTCGAGAATATAGAAGAAATCATACCTGAATTGAAGAAACACCGGATCTTCTCCGGTAGGTAACATTTTCCGATCTACTCCATTAGCATATGTCTCGTGTTTGTTCCTTTTTCCCATTCGGTGTGGTCGAATCGCGAGTGAAACGAACTGAGATAAGTAAGACAAACGTGAATCGATCTGAGACGGAGGTAATTGTGTGCACCGCAAGTTGGATTAGAAGAAGAGAAGAGATGGTGAGAGGAACGACTGCACCTCAAAGCCCATAATAGTTGATTTTTGGACACTTGGGAGTTTGCATCAAAAAAAGAGATTCATGGACTTCTTTTCAATGGGCCTTAAGCGCCAGACTACAACATACCTCCAGAACTCTAGCCTGCACCTCTTGGGCTTGTTTTTTTATTTGTTGCTATTTGTAATTTCTTTTGAATAATTTTGTTAATTGTTTAGACTTGTTTGAATTTTCTTCACATGATAAAAATAATGAAATCAAATATAAAAATTGGATATATTTTTTTATATTTGATTTTGGGAATTAAATCGAGATTATCCGATTACTTGAGATTTGTAATTCACTTTTGCTTGTTGAGATTTGAGTCTTATGCAGGTTTATTGTGCGATATGCGGATATGCCTGAGATTTCAATTGTGATTTATTTTCACATCGATGATGCTTCGACACTTATTCCGGGCATTTGATTTCTCACTTTTTTCTTTGCTTAGTGAAGCTTACTCAAAGTTTTCCAGGTTTCTCTGTTTTTTGCTTGCGACGCTGCAAATTTTTGTTTGTTTGGTATTTTCTTTGGTTTCTCATTTCAGCATTTTATCGCTTTCTAGAGATCATGTATAGTAGGGGCATTTATCGCTTTCTAGAAATCACGTGAAGTAGGAAGCAGGAAATAAAGAGCGTGCGCTTGAAGTTGTTGTTTAAAGTCATGTAGCAGGCACCACTTTCTGTAAGCTAATTTTTGTTGTTTAAAATCCTACCAATGAAGTAGGTATTCTGCACGTGTGTTTACATTTGTGCCCGTATTATATTACAGATAATAAGTCCTCAAAAGGAGGCGAGCAGGGAGGGTCCGTAATCGACCCCCGCACATTCTAGTTCGTGTTATTCTTAGCTCATGTTGTATGTCGATGCTTCAAAGTCTTGTAGATCTTGTGTATCGAGTCCGTCAATTGGGGAAGGGCTTTGCAATCAAACCCCCATGCTTTGTCAGGAGTTTACATTGGACCATGCTGACACTCCACAATCGTTCATATTGTCTTCTGTCACTTACCTCGATCTTATATATCTTGGTTAGGCTTAATGCAAGGATGCAAAAGAAAGAAAAACATCTAAGGGAGACTAACCTAGATCTATCCCTAATGTTATCATAGTATGATTAATACTAAGGATGAGTTTTGAAAGGGAAATCTTTAACCTATGTTAGTATGCATGGATTCCTATCCTAATGTCTAGCTCGAAATCTACTCTAATCGAGTGACCCTAAGGGAGCATACAAATTCCTATTTTACGGGAACATGGTATAACAAACAAATAAGCAAACAAATAAACAAACAAATAACCAAACAATTGCTTTGGAAAAAACACACAAACATACTGACTCAAAGGGGTGGGGGAACAAGAGAATTTCTTTAGCTAAGGGGAGTGTATCGCCTGAAGCAAACAAGTGGGAGACAGATGTAAAACAAAAAATGTGACGTCCAAAGTGACTGAAACTTTTTTCTTGGCAAATGCATAAAACATCTAACAACTTTCAAATCCTTCTTTAAGGTAAAAAAATATCAACCAATACAAAATTTTTCCGCCTTCGGGCTTTTCTTTGGAACTTGAAAAGGATGTGTTATTTTCCTACCATATGCAATACGACGTGTAATTCCCCAAGGGTCGGGTTGCATCATGTCTACTTGCTAAGAGTCACGAATGTAACATCATCTGCCTTCGAGGACCTTTCCTTTTGAAAACACCTGTTTAGGTGAGAGCATGTTATTTCCTTTTCACTACAGATGCGTGAGTATCCAATGGTCGAGCAGCAATGGGATAGTTGAATTTAATATTGTTCATTAAAAACACAAACCAACCAAAATATATGAGCCGAACTACGGTTGCTCTGATTCCTTAAAAGGGATACGTAGGCATTGGGGTAGGGCTCGAACGAGCATAACTTTATTTTTCCCTACATTATTTTCTCTTTTATTTTGCATGCATTCCCTCTTTGCATTTTCTTTTAGCTCTTAAGCCTAGATATAGATTCTAACACACCCATAAGATAGACAACAAGAGTGTATACCATAGAGTACTACGGACGTGTGGGGTGCTAATACCTTTCCTGATCTCTCAGTCGTTTGATCGTGATTTCACCCTTCTCAGGTTTGCTCGATGTTTACCTTTCCCTTCGCGTGGGATAAAAAAATTTTGATAGCAACTTCATTGATTTGATTATCAATTGATTATTCAGCCGATTGTTTCAGCGGGCAACTTCACTGGGAAAAAATTGACCTATTGCTGGTCTATCCCAGAGTCGATCCTAGATTTTGTTTGTTTACTACTTTGGGTGTTTATTTACTTCCAGTTATTTACAACTTTATATACACTTCTTACATATGTTTGTGCATGCATTTTATCGCTTTCCATATGTCGGTGGTACTGCTGTTTCTTTTTCTCTCTGTGGGTGGGTGTTACAAGAGGTAAAAGGCCTAATACCCAGGCCAAGTGATGACCATAGGAACCCTAGGAATAGAGTGGGACATGAACGACTAGTCGACTTTGGTTTGCTAGTATGGTCATATCATTCATGCTCAGTTGAGGTACAAATGAGGTGCTATCGTTTCACGTAGGTGTTTCGATAATAGTGGCCTCAGGCAGACCCATGATTCTGGGTTACCCTTGCCTTACCCTAACCTAGTTTTCACCCGTGAGTGGGGTGAGAATATATCTTACAGGTACAGATGGTGACTGTTGTTCTGTTGGTGACTATGTGGGTCTTAAATTTATTTTCTGAGTTTTTGGATTCTATATTCAGGATGGTTCTTTGGTTATGCTCCAGACCCTTGATCTTGATATATCCAACTTGTCCATAGAATATGCAACAGTTATTCATGGTACTTTATTCCATTGTGTCTTGAATTTGGTGTTGAACCTTTGATCATGTGATATTCGTATTATTCAGCAGATTTACATAACAGTTATCCAAAGGATTGTACAATTGTTATGCTGAACTTTTGAACCTATGGTATTTCACTTGCATCATAGCATATTTATTTTCACAAAAAAGAAATGTGTAAAAATTGTATGCATGAAAAAAGTTAACACACACGTTCTTTCCATTTCCAAGGAATCCTGCTTGTGAGCCTTAAGTCGTGTTTGTCCATCACTTATTGAATCAAAATCAAAACTAAAAGCATATGGGTTCCTTTAAAATGATTGAACATGGCATCGCATCCACTCATTCACCTCATGCATCTTTATGCATTCATAATAGGTACTCGGAGTGGGGAATTCTTATTCAGGCTTGGTATTCTTTTAGAACTACAAATATTGACTTCTCACCGCATCGTGATCCAAAAAACCATGGAATGACTTCGTGGGGAACTTGATGATTTGAAAGATCAAATGGGGATGTTTATTTTGGAAATATAGGTCTTGGATCGTGGTCAGAAATCATGAAAAAGGAGATAACCAGTTAAAGACTCAGATGAGTCAGGTATGGAAGTTCTGAAGATAGTGTCAGCAAAGGAAAGTGATCCTATATATGTTGTTGCAACAAAAGATGTCATTCATACCCAGCCTATGGGACATTTTTCAAGTCAGGAGATACTTTGTGAGTCTCATCCAGAACTTCGTGTTCCCGGATTGTCTCATCAGCGGTTAGTTTCGGGTCTCCAAGTGAACCCATGGGGCAAAACTTACCAGCAGAGACAGAAGAAACCTGAGAAGCATGCTTATACAATATCTATACCTTGTATCCAGTTACTTTCTCGTGTGTGGGAAGCTCAGGTGATTAAGCTTCGTGCTTTGGGTCATCCTCCCACATATTTCTCTCCTGATTTCAATGCAAGTTCTAGATGTGTCTCTCATTCTAGGGCATCTGGTTATGACATTGAAGACTGCAAGGGGTTGTAGTATGAAGTTCGGCACTTGGGTGGATTCTTTTCCAAGATTCAGTCCATGTTTGGAAAACCATTTCAAATTCTTTCTCCTTAGTTGAATGCTTCTTCTATGTAGTAGAAGATGGGGGTGATGCTTCTGTAATGAAGAAGTATAAGATATTGAGTTCCTGGACACCTGTTGTCGTGTAGAAAGATAGAAGCTTAAAGATCGAGTTCTACATTCAGAGTTTATTTTCTTCTATGTGGTAGAAGATCCCTTGGTATGGTTGCTGGATTTCTCTTCTGTGTAGTAGAATATGGTTGTCATTTCTTCTCTATGGTAGAAGATACTCTGTGATGCAGCTTATGCAAACTCGCTTGATAAAGCATTCAACACATCTTTTGTGGGAATCCGATGTGATTACCATGCTGGGGCACTAGGCCTTTTAAATTAAGGTTGTAAACCATTCAGAGATGAAGTGTAATGCTTGCTTGATGCAAATTTCATCAATTTCACACCAGTTGATCAGATTTGAAGTCTCCTTCGACTCAGTGGTGTCAAGACTGCCAAAGCATAGTTTGAAGCAATAAGTCCATACAGAGACTAGTCTCATCATCATGGAAATTTCAAATTACATTTGCATTCTCATTTGTAATCTTTCTTGTTTGGTTAAGTACTTTCTTATATGCAAAACTTGCTTATTTTCGAATACTAATCATAATGCATTGAATGTGTTTGTCTTGAATCAATCCATTCTTAAATGTTTTTTCTTTTTAATACTTAACTCTTGTTAAATAAAGAAAAATATCCCTGGAGGGAGGATGACGAGAAATATACCAAGAATCTCAAATGGTGTGCTTTTGAGTAAAACCGTGCTGACGATGTACAATCATTATTTCAAATTCCCAAACACTGGAGATATAAGGGAGTGAAACCCTCGTTAACCATATTGAGCCTTGAAGTAGGAGTTTCTTTTCTTGTCATAAAAACCCTCACGTTTAACTCGGGACAGGGTAGATTTCAGTTAA